TTTCCCTAACTCCATTTTGCAGCTCTATCAATTATATGCTCTATGTCACAGTTCGGAAATAGATATATTGATGCGAGTGTCTTATTTATGCCCTGGGATCTAGAATAATACCAGGAAAATACTTGATAAAAGAAAGATATGATCAGTGCATGTGTGCTAAGGCTTGATTTGTGCTAGGACTCGTATCAGTTTTCAATATCCTCTAAGTCTTGGAATATGACAAGTAAAAAGAGAAAACACTGCTTCTGTTCATGGACAGAGGTCACCACTGAGTTACTGTAACCAGCTCCATAGAGCTGGTAGGCAGGAATTCCTGGTAAGATCATGCTAGGACAATTTGCCAAATAAGCAACTGTACATGAATTAAACCCCCTGACTTGCAGACTATAATACCAACTCACTGCATAGTAATGATCGGACAAGATCCTTGTCAGCCATGGCAAAGGAAGGAAGTTAATCTGCCACAGTTCTTCTAGATGCTTACCTTTGGGAAAGGGAAAAGATGAAACTGAATTATTGCATTTGTTTTGTTAATCTGAGAGAAGTACAATTTCATTACACCTCCTGATATTATACTTAATTCTGTTGTACGGGCTTTGTAATCATAAAAGTAGAAACAGGCAAGGGTATCTTCAGTAGAAGGAAGACAAAGATATATGAGCTGAGATTCTTGAAAGGCCACAGCTATGGCTGAGGAATATAAGCAACAACTAAGCCAACAAGACTGGTACAGAGCAGGACACCTATCTATTATCAGTTCCCAACTGGATTGGTGTTGATTGTCCCTACCTACAGCTATGTCCTACTCCGTCCCAATCTACTCCCCCGCAGGAAAATGGGGAAGACAGAGGTATGAAATGTGGTCCCTTGTGGAAACTTTGGTTGCCCTGACCAATAAGTATCCCAAATAAGTTGCCCTGACCAATAAATATCCCAGCCTTGAGAATGTCCTTGCCATTCCTCCTTCCATTCTTCCTTGCCATTCCTCCTTCCCCCCTACTTTACACTGACCCTGTAGCCCAAATTGCACTGAAATGCAGGCCTCAAAGCCCATCCCTGTGAAGTCTCACAAACCCTTCAGACTTCTTCACATATTTCTGCAAACTTTCCTCCGCAGAGTATTGGTGAAGAGTGAAAGGGCACCCCACCCCAGTGCTACTTCATTAAATGGGCCTGTTCACATATCCATCTGAGCCATGCCTGATCTCTAAGAATAGGGAGATCACTTACACACTTATATTTATTTTTATATTTATTTATTCTTAAATTTATATCCCGCCCTCCCCACCGTGGCGGGCTCTGGGCGGCTAACAACATGAATATAAATATGCATTTAATTCAAATATAAACAACATTAAAATAAGTTCAAATATAAAACCATAGGTACTCAAGCACCTAACACAATTTCAAGATGGCAACTTTCTATTATCACTGAGTGGCTGCCTCCAGGCTCCTGCCAGCTATTAGTCATCCCGCTGTCGGTGGTGCTGATGTTAAGGCCAGGTTGGTAATGATGTTGATGTCAGGGCCAGGGCCATAAAATCGAGGCGGCACCCTACTTGAAAGCCTGGTGGAAGAGCTCTGTCTTGCAGGCCCTGTGGAACTGTAAAAGGTCCTGCAGGGCCCTGATGTCATCTGGGAGCTAATTCCACCAGTGAGGGGCCGCCACGGAAAAGGCCCTGGCCCTCGTTGTAGCCAACCTAGTCTCAGCCTCAGGAGAACCAGGCGATTTTGGGATCCAGATCTCAGTGCTCTCTGGGGAACATGTGGGGAGAGGCGGTCCCTTAGGTAAGTATTAAAAATGTGATTGTAAGTTTAAGACTACCACCCACACAATATGAGCAGTACCAACACTGCCTTTTTGGGCTCATTTACAACTTGGACTCCAGGCAGCTTCAGTTTCTTGTTGAGTGTGTGACAGAAAATGTGTTCTTTTCTTTTACCTAGAGTTTGAGTTTTTCCTATAGTCCTTTCCTTCAGTGTAAGTTTGTCAGAGAAGTTTGGTACTAATGTCTTGTGTGTTACTGTGACTGTTTGCACAGTGACATAAAACCTGACTTCTTGTGTATTACTCATCCTATTAAATGAATGCATGCATATTAGCTGTTCTACTGTGGACCCTCTGAAACTAATCATCAGGTTGCCTTGTTTTTGTCTGTCTGTCATTCACACACATTGAAAGCAATTTCTCCCAGGCAAGCAGTGTTATTCCAGTAGTCTTGGTTTTCAAGCAGAGAGCGAGCAAGAGGTGGGGAGTGGTCTGGCCAAGGTACAGCCCTCCTCAGTTTGTGAAAGAAAGACAGGGTGTGGTCGATCAGCAGCCCCCCGCCCAGCATCTGTACACAGATGAGGCTGCACAAGCTGAGTGAGAGGCTTGCAGTGACAGGTAAGGACATGTGCAGCAGCTGCTGAAGCTCCACTTTAAGCATAGCATGGATGACACTGGCCACCCACATCCTGTTCTTCTAAACCGTGCCTTCCTGGACATGATAATTGATAAACAGCAGTTCTGTCTGCTTTTCCCCCCTTTCTCTTTATTGAAATTTAAAACATACACATCAGAAAAAATATTGTTGTTATTACTAGAAGATGGAAAAATTAAAGTGAAACTCTGCCTTGTTGCCTGTCTTCCAGTGAGCTCAAGTACAATACCTACTGCTGTCTATAACTCTGGTTCTAATATGGTTTTGTGATTTCTATGATCCTAGGGCCTGGTACTGCTTAGTAGTGGGGGAAATTACAAAAACCCTAATGTTTTCTTTTGAAGCCATCTCCCACCACTCCAGAATGCAGTTTTATTAAACTTCAGTGAACATTGCTTTGAAAAAAGGGCATGATATTATACAAAATTTGGGATATAGCTAACCAGTTTGTAGAAAACATAATTTCTAATGCATTTTCAAAAAATGTGTAGGTTTTCCAACAAAAGTGAATATGAGTTTCCAAGATGTTATATTCTCTTTTGAAATTAGAATTAATTTTCAACAATTTATCTCAAATCCATGTAATCAAGGTATATGCAACCATTCCTCAAATATCCCAGACCCAAACAAAAGCAAATTTGCTCTAAACCAGTGATACAACATGATACTAGTGCATGCCTGCACAAGTATATCCAAACTCTTCCCTGTACTTTTTCTCTGCGTGTTTACACTGATTTGTGGGGAAACCTTTACAATAGACTTTATACCTTTGGTTCCAACTTGTCCAATGCATACAAATACAGATCTGAAATCACTATATTTGGAACTGCAGTTTTATTTTAAAGCCTAACTCCAAAACTGCGTTTTATGCTTGAAAGCAGCAATGAACTTACTTGAAGTGATGCCATGTAAACGAAGAGATTGAAAAATAGCTATGTATCGTTGTCCTATTTCCTTTTCCAGGAAGGAACATATCTTGGGTAAGCTAAAAACAAAACAATGGAGCAGAAAACTTTATTTAACCCCAGCATTATTTCCTATCCAGACTTGTGGCTGCTACAGCGTTAATGATTTTCTGCATGGAAAGCAAAATAAAGACCACGTTGATTATTTGTCATGTATGATTTGTGTACATGAGCTGAGAAGCCAATATTGGCTGAACAGCAGAACATCAGCCTTATATGTGAAATACTACATGGGCTGGTCATGTTTTGGGTTCCCCCCCCCCCAACAAAGAAGAGCTTTTTACATAGGAAATTTACATTTTTAGTAACCCACTGCTACTAACATTACAGCTGCAGCTAAATTCAGCCACTCAGCTTTTGCTTGTGCAGCCCTCAAGAAAAGATGTTACAGATCTGTATACAATGCTGTCCTAAAGTAATATTTATGAGCAGCGAATTAAACAGATATCTTAGTGGCATCTCCAGTCACTGACTTTTAGAGTTTTTATAGATTATCAGTCCAAAGCATGTCCCTGTCACCTATCAGGCTTTGCAAGTTCCAGCTCAAGACAACAGCACATTACCTAATCCACAGTGGATGGGGAAGAGGGGGGGGAATAGCTTTGGCAATGTAATGTACTGTCGCCATTACCACGTGTAGTGCATTCAGCCTGACATGCCCGGACTTGCCCGGGCTGGCCAGGCAATATTCCTCAGTAGCTTCAGTCGAAAGACAAAGGATCCGTAGGATCCTAGCCGGCCCAATCAAAGGGCCAGCTTCCCAGCCGGGAGACCAATGGTCGCCCGGTTACTGTAAATAGCCTATCGGGAGTGGGGTGTGTGTTTAGGTGTGCTGGTGGCGGGTTTTCTGAACGCATATAAACCGGCCTGCGAGCTGGTTTCCTTGTCTTGTTCCTGAACTAATAAAGTACTCTTGCTGAATCACTCTTGCTGAATCACTCCACGTTCTGGGAATAGCTTTGGCAAAGTGGGGGAGGGGAATATCTTTGCTGTGGATGCAGGGATAGCTGTGCTGCAGTCTCTCCTTTCTTTCTTTTTTTAAATGGCTGTTGTGTACTCCATGTCAAAAACAACATTTGCAGGGAAGCAGACAGCTACAAATGGCAAGACAAAATCAAAAGAAGCCCTTGTCAGGTCCACAATTTGCAGCAAGTCCTCATGGTAAAATCTGAAGACCTGGTTTGTCATGCTGTGTCTTAGGAGTACTCAGTCTTAGCTCCTGTGCTTTAAGTAAGCCTAGTGGCAGCACTGCCAGAGTGGAGTAGTGCCTCTTCCACTGGCACCCCCACCAGCTCCAAGGCAAGCTGTCTTTCTTGGACTGGGAAAATATACACCACTGTGCCAAAAAAACCTCCTATTGTTTACAATATATTCTTACTATTTAAACTGTGTATTATAATTATCCAATAATATTACAATTCACAAGTAGGGCACAGTGAGCGTATCAACACCAACAGGTGTAAATTTTCACACAAAAAGTCAATTAGAGTCTTTCTTGCAGAAGGTGAAAGCAGTCAGATGAAAGCAGTCAGGCAGTCAACTCGCTACTCCGGACTGAAAAGTGGTTTCAATCAGACTTCGTCAGGACCGCGCACCAATTGGAACCAAAGCCTTCATACATTAAATAAAGCGAGAGCAAACACCTCCAAGCGGGTTTAACAGCTATCTCATTTCTTTCAGTTCTGCCAAATGGTTCTCTTGGACTGGGACCTGGGGGCAGCTGTTTCCTTCCATGTCACCTCCCACCAGTGCTGCAGCCCACTTTGGACTCTGGCACCATGGTGTATATATGGGAGTTGAAAAGGCTACCTATCAGATCATTTTGGGATCTGCCTATTGCTGATTTGGTACACCAAGAGGATGCTATGAACCTGCTCCTTCAGGGGCAATACAACCCCCTGCAGGACAGGCTGGCTCTGCAGTCCATGAGCAGCAGGCACAAGGCCTTTGTAACACATGAACCAGTCTTTGTGTATATACTCCTTTCTGCTCCATCTCCCTACATCAACTTGAGGAGGAGGAGGAGGAGATTGGATTTATACGCCGCCCTTCACTACCCAAAGGTGTCTCAGAGCGGCTTACAAACTACTTTCCCTTCCCCTCCCCACAACAGACACCCTGTGAGGTAGGTGGGGCTGAGATAACTCTTGACAGAAACTGCTCTTTTTCAAGAACAGCTCTGACAGAACTATGGCTTGCCCAAGGTCATCCAGCCAGGTGCGAGTGGAGGAGTGGGGAATCAAACCCGGTTCTCCCAGATTAGAGTCCGCGCACTTAACCACTACACCAAACTGGCTTGAGAATAAAGATTCTTATTTTCCCCCCTGTTATACCTGCAATACCAGGCAGGAAACATGGATCTGATCTTTGGGACATTACAAATCTTTTTAGATGGGCACAAACCACTCCGAAGAATATTTTTGGCTTTTAAATGTAGCATCTAAATCACTTTCAGTGGGATTACCTTTGAATTTGGCCTACTTATTTTCAGACATGAGACCTTTTCTTGCTTGGGAATTGAACCAGTGACTACCTGGATCTAAGAGCACTAAGGAGTATATCCCAAACACTGACTGGAAACTGGTTCAAATTTATTGGGGCCTGGGATATACAGTGGTCTGGAACAGGATGTGTGCTCATTGCCACGATATGGTCTTTTTAGGTTATTTCAGAAATAAAATAATATATATATATTTCTTTCAGGGTTTGTAAGACTGTATGTATGGAATGGGATTGCTGGGGAACAGGGAAGTGGTATCACGTATTTGAACCTGATACAGAGGGGAAGACTGCCCAGGGCCTTCGAAAGAGATATGTTTAATCAACAGTATTGAATATAGGCTGAGTGGCTACCAGTCAAAATAAGCCTAAAAACTGGACCTATGAATTGGCCCCTGGATTTATTTCACCATTTTGCTTTCCACATTTAGAACTTTTAGAAACAGAAAAAGCAACCACCCCAAAAATGTAGATTCCAGTTACAATATTATTTGCAGCAACCTTAATTCAATGTTTCTAAACACAGTTCAAAGAATTAGAGATTTGGGTGTCAACTATTGATTAAGTAAGCAGATCTGGAAAGCATCCCTCATGATAAGTACTAACAGACTCATACCTTATCTTAACGATGCCACTCTGTAATACGTTTCCTTCGTGCTTCCATTTTATTTTAGAGCATTATAAAACCCCAGAAGATTAAATTACTAATAAACCTCTGCAACATTATTTGCCAGGTGTCTCAAAGGTTGATCCAGCCACCAGATTACTTGGAGTAGGTAATGTCTAACCAGCTTTGCAGACTATATAATGATTAATAGGAAATAGGTACTTGTAGGCCAATTCCTTGCCAAGGAGGAAGAAGTCAGAAACACATAGCTGGTAGACTAAACAAAACTGTCAAAGGTTCACTGATCTAAGCAGAGTTCTTAGGTAGCATTTGGTAAACGGAGCCAAATTTTCCAAATTGTGCAGCAGGGAAGTACGCCATCATCACAACTAGGAATGGAAGATGTCTACTTTGTTTTTTATGTGATTTTCTTGTTTCGTTTGTATTGTTCTACATAGACAGGCCTAAAGTGCTTATTTTTTAAAGGAGTCAAGCATTAATTATTACAAATAATATATCTGCATATACCTATAAGACAGTTGGCTCAAAAGCTGATGTCATATTTTTCCTCCACTTAGGAATACACATTAAAAAATCATGTCAAATAAGCAAAAACGTTGCAGGAAAAGATCCTGAAATACGAGCCAGGATTAGACTGTCCAGGCTCCTGAAAGGTCAGTGGGAGAAAAATTGAGCCGGGGGGGGGGTATACTGGCACTGCGCCAGCATGTGATGTCAGTTCCGGCAAAAACCTGAAGTGACATCATGACGTTGAAGGAGAAGTGTAGGACTTGTGAAAAATTCTATAGTTTAACCATAGAGTTTTTGCACATCCCAGAATATCCCCCTAACATCACACACTGGTATGATACCAGTGCACCTATCCCCCCCCCCCCCCCCCAATGCTATGGCCTAGCAGCCCTTGTCAGGATTCACTATAAGAGCTGCTCAGTGTTATAGAAGTAATTTTTGCTGGCCCAATGGATTCTTCTATTTTTGTCTGTGAACATGTTGTATCACAAACTGCTTTTAAAAATTTTTTTACATTTGACGAAAGCAGCTTGCCATAAATCCCAGGAGCCTGCTATTCATGGGGCTGCTGGAATTAATTCTTCAGTTGTTTGGATCACTGTCAAAAAATGTTGCCCATTCTTGTTTACGGATCTCTTCTCGCCACATCTTTCACTATAGTTATTCCATCGTGGAATATTTCTTTGTTAAGGAAAGTGTTGCAGAATTGTTGCCCAAATTGCAATGATTCATAAAGGAAGCTCTGAAAGAAACAATCTTTCCCCTTCTAACTAATGTTGTGCAGTTTCTTTGGAACTGAGCTGCCACTTTACTGAGAAACATTGAATATTTTATAGCTGCCTGCACGTCAAAGAGAAGTTAGCTCTTTGAAAACCATTAAACATACACTCCACCTTTGAAAGGTCAGAAAGGAATCAGCTGCCTCTGTTCTTGTAGTTCACTTCAAAAGGCAGAAAGGAACTGAAAAGTGGCTTTCTTCTTGCATTAAACAATAGATCACTTCCAGTGAATTTATCTAGAAAACAGCTGCCTTCTCTGCAGATGTGACTGTACTACTGTATCTTTCTTGGTTTATTCAGATAATACATTATTTAAACACAAAGTGAAAATCACACGGCATTTTTGGAAGGTATTAAGCATTTTTAAAAATAATACCACTTGTTTTCTTGAGTACAGAATGTTCCACCTCACTTTCCTCCCTAGTATCTTGTTGTATGAAATATTTTGTTAATAGCATGTTGTTACCAAACCAAGCACTTAAAAATTCAGGAAATGCCAAACTGTATTTTCCTGGAACATTGGTTATTTCTCCTTTTGTATTACTCCTATGCCCTGACCTTGGATAGCCCAGGCTAGCCTGATCTTCTCAGATTTCAGATGCTA